AAGTACCGGGGTTCCAGTTGTAGGTTTCGGGGAACAAGACGCACCCAGTGTAGGCATGAGCGCAGTAGAGCCGAGGAAATTGTCATTGGTCTGAAATGCCTTCGCAACCACTTGGGCTGCGTGTTAACCCGGCACCATTTGAAACCTTTTAAGCCTTTCAAATCTTATCCACCCATTTTATGGATACGTAGACTGAGACAGAATGGACAAGCGTCTTCTCCGGGGACAACCCCGGAACTGAGTCTTAATTCCTGAACATTATCTTAGCTCAGTTTTCTGTTTTAAAAGATGCGTGGAGGGCGAAACTATGACTTACTCGCAAAGGGGAGCAGTGTCTGGAAACAAACAATAGAATTTATAAACAACATTATGACTACAAATACAATTGCTACTTAATAGATATTCTGTCCTGATTGTTTTGCTTTGCTTTTGCGTAGATACTGTAATTTGGGCAGTCTTCTAGCTAAGTATTTTACGGCAACTTGAATAAACTCAGCTTTACCGTCGACTGTCTTTATTTACAATATTACTGTGGCATATGTTACGGGCATGGTATCAGCTGTGCTTGGAAAGACGTATTACATTGTTTAATACTCTTCTTCATTCTCGTTAGTGCTTCATGAAATTCCTGTTGGAATGTAATACAACTAATTTCGATTTTTATTGGGACAAATACTGAACCTACTTTAAAGATCATTCTTTTGCTTAATACACTTAACAAAAATCAGAAGCTTTTAAGTGGAAACGGAACTGAAGGACAGTTATAAAAATAAACACGCTTGTTTGTGCCTCTTCTAAAATATCTTATCTCCTTTTAGTTTAATTTGAAATTAAAACTAAACTGTAGATTAAGTGGAAATTTAAAACTTTCTAAATGTTATGAGGAAATAAATCCTCTGGGAAGGTTTTAACTGCTTGTTTTCAGATGAGTCCACCTGCGAGAAATTATCATTAAGAGTTAGATCTTTTTTTTTTTTCCTAATACTGATTTTAGTTTGTGTATGTTTAAGTTCTTAATATAATTATTAATTTAGGTATTCATAATTAAATTAATACTCCTTAAAGAAATGTGATTCTGGTAGCTTACTAATATCACTGGAATGTGGTTATGAAGCTATATTCTTAGCTTTAACCTAAGTCTTTTATAAAAATTTAAAATTTAAACATTAAAAAGATTGTAGGAACCTAACAATTATGAATTTAAAATATGGTGACTTTTATAATACTAATTCTGATCATGTCTGTATTAGAATATTTGGAAAGAGTTTTATTTGATCCTGGCTAGTTACTACAAGTTTTTGTAATGGCCAGTTAGAATATAATTTTTCGTCTTGTTTGACATTAATAAATTTTTGTAGGATAGAGCTATCTCAAGGTACTTTTGGGGGAGAAAGGGATAAGTAAGTCATCAAATGAATTTACTGCTCTTTGCGTCTGCACAGTAATGGTGGCCACCTTCAAAAGGGTTAGTTTGAAATTGTAAATTAATCTAAGGGAGAGAAGGTAGCATAGGGAGGGAAGTGGATTTTGTGAATATATGCCACAGACTGAATGATCTTTAGTGCTTACTAATTTTCTGGATATAAACACATAGTACCCTGTTTCCACAAAGTAGATTGTTGTATATTGGTTAGAGTGTATGTTGCAGGGGCTGTTGATGGTTTACTGACAAATTGATTAAAAAGATAATGTTTGGATTTTGTTTCCTGTTAACCAGAACCAACACAGATCTATAGATTTCTTCGAACACGAAATCTTATAGCAGTAAGTAGTCAATGAAATTCACCAATATTATTTCATTTTTTATAACTTCGTCTGTAATTTTAATATTTTTAATTTTTTATAGCCAATATTTTTGCACAGAACTCTTACTTACATGTCTCATCGAAACTCCAGAACAAACATCAAAAGGTACATTTTTATAAATCTTATTTCAAACTGATCAAACTACTAGAAAGTTTAGTCTTGCAGTTGGTGAGAGATTCTCAGGAGACAGTTCTTCAAAGATTTGTCTTAAAAGTTCTAGTTAAATATAAAAATTTACAGAACAATTAGTTGAATTTGGGATACTTGTTTTAAAGTATCATTTTTGTAATTCTAGTTTGTCACTAGTTTTTTTTCCTCTAAAAGAAATTATTTAGTGTTTTTTTTTTTTTTTTTTTTTTTTTTTTTTTTTTACTGACTCATATTTTTGCTCTTTGCTGTTAGTTATTTTCAAGTTTGGTTGATAGGACTTAAATGATTTCTAAAGGGCTCAAGGTCTGATACTTTCAAAGTTAATAGAAGGGTCTCTAAAATAAGGTGTTTTGATTATCTGGTCTTAAAGCAGAATCTGAGTGTGTTGTACAGAACTTATTTTTTATTGTGTGGTATTTAGAAGTTAGTTAAAGGTAATAACGGAAGTTAGGTTTCTTAGTTCATGTGCAAGATTTACTTTTTGAGCATATCAAAATGAACAACTTTCAATTGAAAAGAAAGACCTTCTGTTAAACTTGGTAGTATCAGTATAGTCTTACTATTTGTCTGTTGAGTCAATGTCTTGCTAGGTAGACATGGCTCGCCTCATAACTTGCTATATAACCTAGACTGGCCCCAAACTTGTGACTATTCTGACTCAGCCTCCATCCTAGGACTGAGATTATAGGTGTGAGCCACCATGCCTATCTATTTCAATAGTCCTGACTTAATAAAACCATTAAACTACTTCAATACATTAGAAACTAAACTGGTCTCAAAAACTAGAAAGAAGAAAGACAGGCAGACAAACTAAACTGCTTGGGAGAATCTTGGTTACTATGAAGGCATCACATTTCCAGAGCAAGATACAATTTTGTAAAAGTATCATAGTTTACAATGAAAAATTGAAATGTAAGATGGTCTTCTGGCAGTTGGAGGGAGCTGGGGAATAACTAGGAAGAAGATAACAAATTAGACAACAGAATTAGATTGTCTACTTTTTGCCTGTATTGCATTATTGATCTATGTCAAGATTCACCAAACTTTTTCTGTTAAAGGAACAGTAAATATTTTAGGGTCATTTGGTCAGAAGATATAGTCAAGAATATTGTCTAGGTACTTAATATAAAGAGAAAAGTGTTTATAAATGTTTTATTAATGAAATTATATAAGGGTTCGATGTACACTGTTTTGTAATATAAGCCTACTAGAGAGAAATACAGAATCCTTTTTGGTTTTGGAGAATAAAGAATAGTTTACTTAATGATAAGGATTCATCAGGTCAGCTAGTCACCTTTATCTTCAAATACCATTCTTGGCTTGTGGGTTTATACAAAAACATTAAGCCAGATTTGGCTTGTAATCTGTAGTTTGATTACTTAATTCATTCCATAGAACTTTGTGAATTTTAACTTTTTTTTAAAAATTAAAGTTTTTTAATACAGTTAGTTATTCTAGAATATGACCTGATTTTGATTTTAAAAGTGATATAGTCTTTGAAAACTAAATTTGGGTTAATTTATAAGTAGATTGCATACACATCATTTCATAATGTTGCTTATTAGACTGTCTTGTGGGATATATTATATGCCAGTAGAGACAGTATAAAGTTTGGTTATGCTGGGCATGGTGGCATGTGCCTTTAATCGTAGCACTTGGAGGAGCAGAGGCAGGTGGGTCTCTGAGTTCAAGGCAAGCCTGGTTTACATAGCAAGTTCTAGGGCAGCCATAACTATCTAATGGGACTTTTGTTTCAAAAAAAGCAAAATTTTGGTAATAGAAATGGGTTTTCTGATTATTGCCGTTTGGATTTTTGGAACTGTCTTTGGGGGATTTTGAAGCAAATTTACTAACCTAGAAACATTTAAATCTCACTTAGATTATTTCCTCACAAAACACATAGGGATTATTACTTAATTCTCTTGTTATATCTGACTTTAGGACTTTAGGGATAGGACCTTTAGATGAGTGGTCTTTGCTGTCAGTGACTTTGAAGGTTTATGTTGCACAGTAAATATCTACATTTCCATTTATGTATAACATGTACTATTAGTATACCAGTATTTTGTGGAAAGGGCACTGTTGAGAACTGAATCCAGGATATTAGGTATGTTAGACAAATGCTGTCATCACTTAGAGCTATATCCTTAGGCCTCATTACTCCCTTTGAAGTCATACGATCAGTTATAATATTAATTCTAGTGTATTTGTTAGACACAGACTTCAGTCTTACTTCATAGGTTTTAAGTTTTTATTTAAAATACCGTAAGCTTACCCTACTATGACATAGTAGGATTAAAGATGAGGTGAACACTTTTGTTTGCTTGTTCATTATTCATTCATTTACTTATTTAGGGAAATTATTTCACAGTGTATTCCAAGCTTGGTTGGAAGCTATAATCCTGTCTCAGATTCCAGGATACTATGATTACAGGCATACAACTTACACATCTGACTTTGGAAAGCTTTTTACTTCATCTATTTTATTAGATATCTTTTAAATTATTCTGAATCCTCCCAGTGTGTCGCCCCCACCCCCCAAGTTTGTACTTTTAATCATTCCATATGGTGACCTTATGGTACTATTTTATTTGTTAATCTTAGCTGTGCTGTGGTATTGCTTTTCTAAAGAAGTGCTTGGAGTTGGAGAATGCTATTTTTCTGTGGTTGCTTCCTTTTTCCCTACAGAAGGCTGGATTGTTCTTATAATCTTAACTATTTCAAACAGTTGCGACTGTTCAGTTCTATTGATTTCTTCTACATGAAACTCAAATGTTGGAAGAAATGCTTGGGTTTTTGAGTCTTACCTTTCTTTCTGCAGACAGCATTTAAAATTTTTTTTAGTTGGGGGCTGGAGAGATGACTCAGCGGTTAAGAGCACTGACTGTTCTTCCAGAGGTCCTGAGTTCAATTCCCAGCAACCACATGATGGCTCACAACCACCTTGAATGAGATCTGGTGCCCTCTGCTGGCATGTAGGCAGAAGACTGTATATAAAATAAATAAAATCTTTAAAAAAAAATTTCTTAGTTATAAAAAGTTCATAATGTTTCCAGTAATTTAAAAGAAACCCTTCATATTTATACTGAACAGTTCTTTGTAATTAGTATAAAAAAGTCCTTCAGTTTTCTTCTATTTGAAAATAGACTGATTTTTCTAAACTACTAAGCTGTATGATAAAACTTGAAAATGGGGGGGGGTTGGTTAACCTAGGGATAAAGAGATTTTTTAAAAATCTTTCATTAGTGGAGAATGTTTTTTTTTTTTTCTAGACACGGTTTCTCTATATTGCTTTGGAGACTGTCCTGGAACTTGCTCTGTAGACCAGGGTGGCCTGAAATTCATAGAGACCCTCCTGCCTCTGCCTCCTGAGTGCTGGGATTAAAGGCATGCGCCACCAATATCCGGCTGAGGAGGGTTTTTTTAAAGAATAAGCCTGCCTTATGTCTGTAATTTCTATTTATCCACATACAAGTAGTAAAAAATTGTAACTGAAGGGCTGCAGAAATGGCTCAGTGGTTTAGAGCACTGACTGCTCTTCCAGAGGACCTGAGTTCAATTCCCTGCAACCACATGATGGCTCACAAACCATCTATAATGGGATCTAATGGCCTCTTCTGCCTGATGCCCTCTTCTTTCATGAAGGAATAAATGCAAATAGAGCAAAATATACATACATAAATAAATCTTTTTTTTTTTTTTTTTTTTTTTTTTGAGACAGGAATTCTCTGAAACAACCCTGGGTGTCCTAGAACTCGCTTTGTAGACCAGGGTGGCCTCACAGAGATCCACCTGCCTCTGCCTGCCAAGTGTTCCCAGCACTCAGGAGCCAGAGGCAGGCCGATCTCTGTTGAGTTGGAGACAGCCTGGTCTACAAGAGCTAGTTCCAGGAGAGCCTCCAAAGCCACAGAGAAACCCTGTGTCAAAAACACAAAATAAAAAACCAAGAATCAAAAAGTGTCAAGTTAAAGATGAATACATAATTTTATAATTGAGTGGTATGTGTCCTAACTTCATTGTTGGTGGTTTTTGTTGTTAACCTTTTTGGTGTGGCATATCAGTTAGCTGAAAATTTGCCAGTAACTTTTGAGGATGTTTTATGACTGTCAGTTACATCTTATAGTCTGGTGTGATGGCTCATACTGTAATCCCAGGATTTGAGCAACTGAGGTAGGTAGGATTGTCCTGAGTTCAAGTCTAGCTTGCGCCACAGAGTGCAACAAGATATAAAAAGAATAACCATGGTGCTAGTATGTATTTGTTGGTTGCTTCATAGGTACTGAATGTTCTAGCAGGGTATGGTGGCACAAGCCTTTAGTCCTAACATTGGAAAGCAGAGACAGATCACTTGAGGTCAAGGCTAACCTGATCTACAAAGCAAGTTCCAGTATAGCCAGGGTTACAGAGAAAAACTGTCTCTAAAAGCAAAACAAACAAACAAACAAACACAGCTGTTCCAAAACTCTGCATTTGTTTGGCTCATCTTGATAGGTGCTTAAATACCTAATAAGATTAAGGCCTTATGAGAAAGCTATATGCTTAAAGAAAAAGTAATAAAGTAATCACTCTCCTTTGGGGACTTACAACCTATTAGAAATAAAATACTTCAGAGACATTTTACATGTAGGAGACTTTAAAAATAAGTAAAATTAAATGCTACGGGTAAGGAGTATTGCTCATGACTTAGATAATTACAGGAGGTTTCATGAAAATAAAATAAATAACATTTACAGTTGAACTTGAAGGAGTGTCTACTGTATTATAACAAACTATTGTCTCAATAGTATGTGCATTGTTATGAACTAGCCATCTAGTTTATCTTGAAATAATCAAAATTGAATTTTTATTTTGTTTATTACAGTATAATTTGTATTTTCCCCAGTTGAGAAGTGATTATTATGTTTATCTGTTTCTTCCAGGAAAACATTTAAAGTTGATGATATGTTATCAAAAGTAGAGAAAATGAAAGGAGAGCAAGAATCTCATAGGTAAGATAATCTGTCAGTTTACATTAAGGGATATACTTGAGGAAAGAGGGATAATTATAAGTGACCATTTCCCAGTGATCACCTCAAGATTGTTAGGAGTTTAAAAAAAAAACTTAGAATCAGTTGCTCCAGGTACTGTGTGAGTCAGGAATTAGTTTCTGTAGCATCTGTGGCAGAGATTCCCTCAAGGCTGTTTGACCATCTCTAATGTTGGAAACTTTTCTAGGACATTAGTAATTGTTTATCTCTTACCAATTTCTGGCGTTTTCAAATCAAGTTCTTTAACTATGTCTCCTACTTGTGTTAGTGCCTCATAGTCTAGTTAGAACCTGATCTGATGCATTTTTCTTCTGATTCTCTTCATAATTTGCCCACTAGTCATTTCAAGGTTGTAAGAATTGAGCCAATATAAAAAAATTGACCCATTGCTGGGCAGTGGTGGCACAAACCTTTTAATCCCAGCCCTGGGGGGTGGGGGGATCAGCAGAGGCAGGCAGATCTCTGTGAGTTTGAGGCCAGCCTGGTCTACACAGTGAGTTGCAGGCTGTTTAACAGAGAAACCCTGTCTTGAAAAAGGGGAGGAAAAAACAAAACAAAAATTTCATTCCTTTATCTTCCTTACCCAAAATTTAGTATAGATGCCTAAATTAGTTTTTGTTTGTTTGTTTTGAAACAGGGTTTCTCTGTGTAACAGCCCTAGCTGTCCTGGAACTTGCTTTGTAGACCAGGCTGAGATCTGCCTGCCTTTGCCACCAGTGCTGGGATTAAAGGCATGCACTACTATACCTAGTATAGTTTTGAAATTTATAGCAGGTAAAAACAGAACCAAAGTATTAACATTCATCTATGTAAAACAAGTTAATATTCCTTGTTTTTTATGCTTTAGGTCTACAATTGTTGTAGAAACTTGTTAGAAGAAATTATGGACAGAAAAAAGATCATGAGTTGTGTCATGGGTTTTAGTCGTCTTTCTTTATTCCCCCCTTCTTTTTGGTGTTTCAAGATTATTTCTCTCTAGTCCTGGCTGTCTTGGGGGTTGCTCTGTAGAATAGGTTGTCCTCAAACTCACCTGCCTTCTGCCTCCTGATTGCTGGGTGCCACCATGCCCTACAGTTTTTTTCTTTTCTAAAATGTTGGTTTGTCATAATAAATGAGAGTCATTTTGTTCTGTTAAGTATAATAATAAAACTGTCATTTATACAAATTATTGTTTGGAAAAGGAGCATCTTCAAAGCACCTAGCAAATTTTAGAGACTCATCAGGTCATACCTGCTTCCCAGATTTCTCTGATTTGTCTCCTTGCTTTTTTTGGTGTAATTGTGTATACTTAAAACACATCTTTTTTTCATTTGTAGAATGCCTAAAGTGCCTTATGTCTTCTCAAACTATTAGTTTTGGTGTTCTAGTTTGAATTTGTGGGGTTTTGACCAAGCATTATGGCTTCCTGGAATAAATAAAATCATATAAAAAATTGAAGTTGAGGTTTCTTCTATAGGTATCTCCTAGGTCCAGATGAGAAGTAAAATATCTTCTGTCTTGCCATTGCCCTATTCCATCCTTTGTTTAATATTACTTACTGGGTAAATACCCAGAAAAGTTACCTGAACTAGATTTTTTTTTTTTTTTTTTTTTTTAATTTGAGAAGTCTTGCTGTTTCCCCAGTTTGCCTTCAATATGCTATCCTCCTGCCTGCCTTACCTTCCCAGATGCTGGGATTATAGGCAGGCATATGACACCATGCCTTGCTGAAGTAGAACTTCTATTAGTTGGTTTTTCTAGTTATTTTGATTTGTTTGCCTTGCTGGGAAATTAACCCAGGGCCTTGTGCTTGCTAAGCAAGCTCTCTAACTTTTAAGAGATATCTTAAGTCCTTATGGGCCTTTTATCATTGTTTTTGTTAAAACCTAAGCTTTAGAGTTACTTATCTTTCCTTTGTAAACATTCCTTTTGGTAAGCATCTTTTTCAACAATAACAAGGTCTGTATCTGTATCTGGAGCCAGAAGAGTGTGTCATTTCCTTAGTGTGCCATGTCCCAAGCACTATATTTAAGCCTTAGGGATATAATAGTGAGCAAAATACATCTGCCTTTTTGGAGGGAAAGATGTATTTATCTAATAAATGGTGGGAAAGAAAAGTACAGGGAAACCATGAGTGTATACACAGGAAGAAGCAGTTTTTGTTTCAGTAGTTGAATATGGGAATGTAATGGAAATCTTGTCTGGATAAATAAGCTGAAATTTGAAAAATGGATATAGGAGTAAAGTGAGGGAGGATGAACAGATGTCTGAGTAGAAAGAGCAGGAAGAGTGATATGAAAAGCCTGAAAAAGGTGTCTGTGGCCAGGCAATTCAGGGTCTTAGAGGCTGTATGAAGATGTGATCTTGCTGGGCATAGTGGTGTACACCTTTTACCCCAGCTCTTGAGGCAGGTTCAAGGATAGGCAGAGCTATATAGTGAGATCCTGTCTGAAATAATAAAGAATGAATGAATAAATGGTGTGGTGTTTAACCTAGGAATACTATTAAGTTATTCTTTGTATATATTTATCTTTGTAGTTCTGGGGATGGAACCTAGGACCTTGTACGTGCTAGACAGTTGCTCTATGAATGAACTACACAACCAATAAAACTATTTTAAACAATGCTATTGCATTAATAGCTTTTCTCTGTCCTGTTTTGTAGATAATGTTTAAACTTCTTTGGTTTATTGTATGTTTATCTCTAATGTCTTCTTTTATGTTTTTGTCTTAGTGTTCTTTGAGATAAGGTTTCTTGTAATCTTTGAACTCTCTGTGTAGCTGAAGTTGACTTTAAGACGATCTTCTTGTTCCATTTCCTAAGAATGGCATTTGATAGGTATATGCCACGAAGCCCCGCTTAAGCACTCTACAGTATTGAAAGATTTGTTTCTGTGTAATAGATACACACCATCTCCCACTCAAAGTCTTCCTATCTGTAGGTCTCAAATGCTATATTTAGATACCTTGGGTTCTAGAATACGGGATTCAGTAGTGAAGTCATCAGATTTTTAGCTTTCTAGGATAAAATGTATAAGGAAAGTTAAGCTAGTGATATGGCTTACCTGCTAAAGGCGCTTTCTTCAAAGCCTAATAACCTGAGTTTGTTCCCTAGAACCAGCATGGTTGGAAAAAAGAACTTTTTTTGATTCCCAAAAATTGTCCTCTGACATTGACACATGCATCATGTGTGTACCCCACACAAACACAGAATAAGTTAGTGTGTAAAAGAGAAGTAGCAACCCTTGCACAGTGTAGATGCTAGCATACAACTATTCCTTTTGTTTGTTGTTTTTTTTTCTGGTTTTGAGACAGTTTCTCTGTGTATCTGTCCTGGAACTCTGTAGACCAGGCTGGCTAAGGTTCTGTTTTTTTGTTTCTTTTTTAGTTTTTCGAGACAGAGTTTCTCTGTGGCTTTGGAGGCTGTCTTGGAACTCGCTCTTGTAGACCAGGCTGGTCTCCAACCCAAAGAGACCCCCCTGCCTCTGCCTCCCAAGTGCTGGGATTAAAGGGCATGTGCCACCAACGCCTGACTGGTTTTTGGTGTTGTTTGTTTTGTTTTGTTTTGTTTTAGAAGACAGGGTTTCCCTTTGTAACAGCCCTGGCTGTTCTGGAACTTGCTTTGTAGATCAGGCTGGTTTCAAAATCAGAGATCCACCTGCCTCTGTCTCTGCAGTGTTGGAACTAAAGACATGCGCTACTATACCTGACTGGATAAATAACAATTCTGTGCCCCCCCTCTACCCCCTCCAGGATATCCCCATGTATCCCTGGCTGGCCTGGAACTGGCTATGTAGACTAACCTGGGTTAGAACTCAAAAAAATCTACCTATCTCTGCCTCCTGAGTGCTGGGATTAAAGTTGTAGGCCATGCTGGCCCAAATCCTGAGGATTTATCCTGGTCATCTAAATTCTATCTAGCCTGAAATCAAATAATGCCTGACTAACCTTACATGTTTTTCTTCTTTCTCATTATCTGACCCAGCTTTAAGTGTGGGTACAGTAAATATTAGGGGCGAGGAAAGGGAAAGAAAATGTTTTTTAGAAGAAATCTGTGGTAGACATGGTAGTAGTATACACCTGTAACCACAGCTTAGGGAAGTGAAGGCAGAAAGATCCTTGGCTGAATAGTGAGTTTCAGGACAGCCTGAGATACTTAATTTATTTACTTATTAGTGTGTATATACAGATGCACACATGCCACTGCACAAGTGGAGATCAGAGTACAACTTGTAGGAGTCATTTTTCTCCACTTTACGGGTTCCAGGGATCAAACTCAGGTCACCAGACTTGATGGCAAGTGCGCTTACCCAAATAACTATCATGCTATTCTCTCTCTCTCCCTCTCTCTCTCTCTCTCTCTCTCTCTCTCTCTCTCTCTC